AAAGGAAAACCAAATAAATAACCAAATAAACCAAATCAGTAACAGTTACGTCACCCTTAAACTCTACGCCTACATCTAAGTTGTATAAAACGGCAGAGTGTTTGGAAATTAGAGGGAGAGAGAATTAACTTTGGAGAGAAGATACTTTGGAAAGAGATGTGCTGTTAGTTCTCCCCACAGGCAAGGGGTGAGGCTGCTGCCTCCACATCTCATGTTTAGTGAGACAGGCTCCAATGTGTTGATGCCTGTCTGATAAATCAACGAGGCAAGAGACAGCATACCCAGCAGATGATCCAAAGCTCGGTGGCCCAGAAATCCCCAGGGGCGGGATCGGGAGCCCAGGTGCTGCAGTTCTCACTGGGGCTGGGCTCCCTGAGTTGCTGAGACGACAAGGAGCAGACGCCTGTTTCTCCCAGACAAGAGGAGAGGACGCCCTGAGATTCCATAGTGATTCACAATTTTAAAGGTTATATTCCATATAGTTGTTATAAAATATTGGCTATATTCTGTGTGTTGTGCAATATATCCTTGTAATTTATTTATGTTATACATAGTAGTTCCTACCTCTTAATCTACCCCATCTTGTCCTTCCTCACTTCCTTCTCCCCACCGGTAACCACTAGTTTATTCTCTATATCTGTAAGTCCGTTTCTTTTTTGTTACATTCGCTAGTTTGTTTTATTTTTTAGATGTTACAGTATTTGTCTTTCTCTGTCTGACTTATTTCACTTAGCATAACACCCTCCAAGTACATCCATGTTGCTACGGGTGGCAGATTTTATTCTTTTTTATGGCTGAGTAGTAATCCATTGCATGTGTATATGCCACATCTTTATCGATTCATCTGTCACTGGACACTTACGTTGCTTCCATTTCTTGGCACTTGTAAATAATGCTACTATGAATATTGGAATGCATGTATCTTTTCAAATTAGTGTTTTCATTTTTTTTTGGATATATACCCAAATATTTGAATTGCTAAGTGATATGATCGTTTTATGTTTAGTTTTTTGAGGAATCTCCATACTGTTTTCCACAGTGGCTTCACCAATTTACATTCCCACCAACAGTGTACGAGGGTTCCCTTTCCTTCACATCCTCGCCAACATTGGTTGTTTGTGGTCTATTTGATGATAGCTGTTCTGACAGGTAGGAGGTGATATCTCATTGTGGGTTTGATTTGAATTTCTCTGGTGATTAATGATGTGGAGCATCTTTTCATGTGCTTGTCGGCTTCTATATGTCTTCTTTGGGAAAATGTCTGTTCAGATCTTCTGCCCATTTTTTAATTGGGTTCTTTGGGTTTTTGATGTTGAGCTGTATGAGCAGTTTATATATGTTTATATATGTTGGCTATTAACCCCTTATCAGTCATATGATTTGTAAATATATCATCCCATTCAGTAGGTTGTCTTTTCATTTTATTGATGCTTTCCTTTGCTATGCAAAAGCTTTTAAGTTTAATTAGGTCCAATTAGTTTATTTTTGCTTTTATTTCCTTTGCTTTAGGAGACAGATCAAAAATATATTGCTGTGATTTATGTCAAAGAGTGTTCTGTCAATGTTTTTCTTTCAGGAGTTTTCTGATTTCCAGCCTTACATTTAGGTCTTTAATCCATTTGGGGTGTATTTTTGTATGGTGTTAGAGAATGGGTAAACTCTTGTGATCCTCTTTAGTCTTGAATTTTTGACTTCTGGCTTCCAGAACTGAAGAAGAATACATTTGTGTTGTTTTCAGCCAGTAAATCTTTGGCAATTTGTTGTAGCTGCAATAAGAATCTAATATAATGCCTGTTCTTGACTTTCGCCCAGATTTTCATTCCTTTCCTTTTTCTTAAAGATTTGTAGGAGTCTTTTATATTATGTATATGTTTTCCTCCAATCACTTATATATTTTGCAAATATCGTCTCCCAGTAAATGAGCTGAATTTTCACTCTGTTATGGAGATTTTTGATAACAAACATTCTTCACATGGTCAAATTTTTCAACATTTTTCTTTTATAGTGTGTACTTTTTGTGTCTTAAAATATTCTTCCTTATCCTGCTGTGGTATTTTTGATCTGTAGAATTTTTATCATTCAGCTTAAAATATTTTAAAATGTCCATCATTATTTCTTCTGGATCTCATGAAATGTGCAGAAGTATGTTTTCTTTTTTTTTTTTTTGAAGTATGTTTTTAAGTTTCCAAATGTATAGGAGTTTTCTGCTCATCTTTGTGCTAGTTGCATCATGGTCTGAAAGAACATCAGCTGTGTCGTAGCAGCCGCCCTTTAATTTCAGGAGACTTACTCTGTGGCCTAACCTGCGCTCGGTTTTCTTGCATATTTCATACATGCTCAAAAATAATGCTTTTCTTTGGTTACTGAGTACAATGTACCCAATAGGATCACTAGATTATTTTTGTATCTTGCTCTGTATCTGTACCATGCAGTGTGGTAACCGTAAACCACACGTGTCTCTTGAGCATCTGAAATGTCGCTGGTACGACTGACGAACTGGGTTTAATTTATCTAAGCATAATTAACTTTTATTTAAAGGTAAAAGCTAAAACTCCATAAAATACGTTTTTCTGATAGACACACTTTGTTGTTTTGGTAGGACAGACATTTGGGTTTCTGCTATTGAGTTGTGTGAGTTCCTTATATATTTCAGATAGTAACTCTGTATCAGATAAATGGTTTGCAAGTATTTTCTCCCACTGCATAGTTCGCCTTTTCATTTTGTTGGCTTTTTTTTTTTTTTTTTGCTGAGCAGCAGCTTTTGAGCCTGATGTGGCCCCGTCTGTTTATTTACATTTTGCTGCTTGTGCTTTTGGTGTCACACCCATAAAGTCATTGCCAAGACCCATGTCCAAGACGTTTCTCCCTTGTATTTTCTTCGAGAATTTCTATAATGTTAGGTCCTACATTTAGGTTCTTAATCTTTTTCAAGTTGACTTTTGCGAGTGGTGTAAAATGTGGGTCAAGTTTCACACTTTTGTGTGTGAATATGTAGTTTTCCCAGCACCGTTTATTGAAGAGACTGTCCTTCCCCACTGAGTATCCTTGGCTCCCTTGTCAAATGTTAGTTGGCCGTATATGCATGGGTCTATTTGTGGGCTCTCAATTCTGTTGCACGGGTCCATGGGTCTTTTTTTATGCCTGTACTGTACAGTTTTGATTACTGTATCTTAGCGATGTAGTTTGAAATCAGGAAGTGTGGTGCCTCCACACTTTGTTCTTTCTCAAAATTACTTTGAGTCTTTGAGTCAGAGTCTTTGTGGTTTCATACAAATTTTAGGATTGTTTTTTTCTAATTTCAGAATGCCACTGGAATTTTGATAGTGATTGCACTGAATTTTTAGATATTTACAGGTTTTAACATTAACTCTTCCAATCTATGAACATGAGATACCTTTTCATTTATCTGTGTTTTCTTTAATTTCTTTCATCGACGTCTTATGGTTTTAAGTGTACACATCTTTGACCTCCTTATTTAAACTTATTTCTGTTTTATTGTTTTTGGCGTCATTGTATATAGGATTCTTTTATATCTTTTCAAGCTAGTTCCTTGTTAGTGTCTAGGAACAGAAGTGATTTGGGTACGTTCATTTTGTGTTCTACAACTTTACTAAGTTTGTTGATTACTTCAAACAGTTGTTTGGTATAGTCTTGAGAATTTTCTATATATAAGGTCATGTCATCTGCCACCAGAGACAATTTTATTTCTTCCATTCTTATCTGGATACCTTTTATTTCTTTTTCTAGCCTAATTGCTCTGACTGTGACATCCAGGACTGTGTGAATAGCAGGGGTGAGAGTGGGCACCCTTGTCTTATTCCTGATCTTAGAAGGAAAGCTTTCAGCCTTTCACTGTTGAGTGTGATGTTAGCTGTGAGTTGGTCATATATGACCGCTATTATGTTGAGATATGTTTCTTCCATATCCAGTTTGTTAAGAGTTTTTATCATGAAAGGGTGTTGAATTTTGTCAAATGCTTTTTCTGCATCTATTGAAATGATCACATTTTTCTCTTTCGTTCTGTTAATGTGGTGTATCACATTTACTGGTTTGTGTATGTTGAATTCTCCTTGAATCCCAGGAATAAATCTCACTTGATGATGCTGTATAATCCTTTTCGTGCTACTGAATTCAGTATGTTAGTATTTTGTTGAGAATGTTTGCATCTATATTCGTCAAGGAAAGTGGCTGATAGTTTGTGTGTGTGTGTGGTACTCTTATCTGACTTTGGTATCAGGGTATTTCTGGCCTTGTAAAATGAGTTTGGAAGTGTTCCCTCCTTTTCCAGACTTTAGAGACCAACTTCTAAAAGAAAAGACCTTCAACTGTGGCGAGGGCAGAGTGGAGTATGCTGTGACCCCATATTACACAAAGGCCAGGAGGAGAGAGATAGGGGTGTATTTTGCAAGATTCTTGTACTGTGTGTGGAATGGTATGGCATCACTAGAAGGTAAACTGTTATAAGATAAAGATGTACAGTATAAAGTAATCAAAAAAGGATTGTAGCTAATAGGCAACCAAGGAGACACAATAGAGTTATAAGCATATGATCATTTCATCCAAAGGAAAGCAGAAGAGGAGGAAAAGAGAATAAATAAAGCAGATGAGACAAATAGCAAACAAATAACAACATGGAAGACTTATATAAATAACCACATTGGGTGTAAATGGTCAGACCTCTTCAATGTATAGACAGAGAGACAGATGAGTAAAAACAAATGGAAGACCTATATACAAATAACTCACTTTAAATATAAATTCACATAAAAGTAAAAGGATGGGAAAATATACTATGCTAACACTAATCAAAAGAAAGCCTGAGTGGCTATATTCATATCAAATTAGGTTTCATAGAAAAATATTACCAGGGATAAAGAGGTCATTCCGTTATGATAAAGGGGACAATTCATCAAGTCCTAAACACTTACCTACCTAATAACAGGTTACTCACCATCCTAGATGCTGAGTAAGGAAACAGAGATTCAGAAAGGTTGACCCACCTGTGAAGGTCACTCAGGCAGCGAGTCGAAGACACAGGCTGGGAACCAAAGATGACTCCAGGGTCAGCCTCTCCCCGCTCTGCTAAGATGCTTCTCAAGGAGGAGCCACCGAGTCAGGTGCCTTCAGCACATCTTTGCTGATGGCATGTGACCATCTCCTTGGGAACAGAGACCTGTGAGCCCACCATTCGGGGCTCTGCGGGTGGTCCAGCCACAGGGACCAGAGACCTTGTCCAGATGCCTGAAGTGGGGGTGGAAAGCGGGGACACACATAGGACTTGGGGAACAGGCACATTTTTCAGAGTTGCATGGATTTCTCCTGATTCCTCAATGGCTCCATTTATAAATGTCCACAGTGCCCGGGTCAGTGTGGGTATCGGGAGGAGGTGAAGGTTGATGCTGGAGGGCAGGGGCAGGGCAGTTTCTGCCTGATGATTTCTAAGCTTCTGACCGAAGCCTAAAGCACCAAGACAAACTTCTCTTTCACAATGCGTTTCTAAGGGTTGGTGCCAGGAAAGAAGCCCCCAAGGATAAAGAGAACTCCATCCCACGTCTTTATTCCACCAGACAATGCCCTCTTTGTCGCCCCTCTTCCCACCCGATGAGACCAGCCTCCTCCCACAGCCATATGTGGACAAAATGTGCCAAGACCTGGAGCAGCAGGGTGCCCGGGTGCAGGGGTCATCCAAGGGCAGGGGGGGAAAGAGAATCGGATGGGACGGCACTGGGCCAGGGATGCCGAGCGGCCGGGGCAGAAGGAGATTAGCTAGTCCTGGGCCCACCAACGCGTGAAAATCTGGAGGACACAAAAATATTAAATTAATAATTGTTTAAATATTGTGCAGATTTAAAATCTGTAACATTTACAAATAGTCGGCAAACTCATTTCCCACAAGGATGGCAAGGACGCTACTGAGCCACAAATTTAGCTCAAAGGACTGGTGCTACAGAAGCAGCGTCCTGGCTCTACCCCGTCTGGTTTATTACCTAAATTTCTAGAGATTTCTCTGTCCTGAACTTTCTACAATCTAAAGGCGAGTCCTCGCCCACATGAGCATGCAGTGCTGGGAGGCTGACAGCAATAAATGTCTAGAGACCAGAGGCTGTGGGTAACTGCTGATCCCAACAACCAGGTCTTCCTCCTTGACCCTCTGCTGCCCCACCGCGGGACTCACAGTAGACCCACGCCTCAAAGGTCTTTCCACTTTTGTAGGTCCTTACTCTGTGACTTCCTGTACACCAGATTTTCTGGGCCCCAGGGAATGTTTCCCAAGTTTTAGGCACTGCCCACCCCCATGATCAAGCCTTCTTTCTCTATGACTGTGAGGGCAGGAAGCCCCTGGGGTCCTAGAGCCAAGTGGTGCAGATGGAGGATGGGAGGAGAGCCAAGTTCAGAAGACCAGAGAGGGCGTCTTCATGGTGACCTTGAAAGACATCATGGACTATTCCCAGGACAGAGAAGGCTAGTGGGCTATGGGCTGAGGGCTGTGGTTGGGAGGTAAGGATATGCTGTTTTCAGAAGCTCAAGGGTCAATCCCAAGTAGGCATGAAAAGGGGAATTGGCAGGAAGGAAATATCAGAGCCCCTGAAAGATACAAGTGGAAATGCACAGGCGTTTCTGCATCCCCTGCCCCCACCCCGAGATCCCACATCACATCTGCCTTCCTGCTTCCCCCATCCTCACTCCCAGGCCTCGCCTCACATGGGAAGCAATGTCAGCGTCAGCGCTAATCCAGGCACATCTGACCCCTCAGCTCCACACCCCCACCTGTCTGAGGCTGACCCCACTCTAGAAGATGACAGACTCACCCCTGCCCAGGGAGACTGGGTGGAGAGTGAGCCAACCCTGGGGTCAGTCAGACCTGAGTTTACACGTGGTGGCTCCACCAGTCACTGGCTGTTTCTTGGTGACTGAATCATCTGGGTTGCGTTGCCTTAATAAGTCTTCTCGTGGTTGTTATGGGAATTCAGTTTTTAAAAACTAACCTATGTAAGCTTCATGAGGACAAGGGTGATGCATCTCTTGATTTACCCCGGACCTTCATGCCAACGACATTTCTGGGCATTTAGAACTTGCCCAGGATGTATGGGGGAAGAGCTGCAAATAGTTCATGTGTAATTAGCGGTACCTGTGTGAAAGTTTATTTAAAACAAGAAATTTGACCCAAGCCTCAGCTGCTTTTATAGCTTTCTGGGATACAATAAATAATAAAAATGAAACATTAAAATTTTTAAGAGAGATGGAAGTGATGCCATGAATGAAGCAGGAAATGACATCAGAACACTGGGGTCCAGAAGGCTGTCCCATCAGGGTCTCACACCTTCCAGGGAATGTTAGGTTGAGAGTTCTGGAAGTATGCATACAATGGACAGATTCATCATTTTCAACAAAGAAATCCCAGCCTGAGTCCCCTTGGCTCTGCAGCCTCGGACACCAATCAAAAGTGGGAATCGGCATAAATAAACAAATAAACCTAATTACCCCCCCCCATTTAAAAAAGTAATTTAAAAAAAAAGTGGGAATCGGAGAGCATCTCATGGAAGTGGCTGAGGCCTGCCTGGAGGAGGAGTGCCCTGAGATCACCTACTACCTGGACTAAATGTTCACTGCTTCTTCTGTTCTACTCACCAGCAATGAGCAAGGGACGGGCCAAGGAACCTTGAGGAGGGGGACGTAAATGGGTAGATGAACCAGTGGAAGAGAAAGAGGAGGGCTTAGAGGTGTGGAATAGTGCTCCTCAGAATCCTGCTTAACCCACTAAAAGTACTCTCGAAAGCTCTGGGTTCAGGACAAGGATGGAGACAGGGAGGGGCATTCCCAGCCCACTCCTAATACTCAAGGAAGAGGCCCGAGTTCAAATTCTGTCCTCGTCCCAAGCTCCCCAGGGAGAAACTGACCTGGATAAGCCCCACGATCCTATAATTCTCTCTCACAATAGTGATTTTTCCTACACTGAGCTCGGCGGGCAATATGTGAAAATGCTGTCTTTGACATTTAGTTATGGAAGAAGAACCAAATAACTCAGAAGGAAATAACTCAGCCAGTGATATTTCAAAACTTCTGACCTTTGAGCAGATAAAGAAAAGCATGTGACAGGAGAAAATTTTCAGATCAATGAGGAAACCCAGATCCACGTGAGCAGGTCAGAGCTGAGGCAGTTTGGAGATCCGCCCCCCCCTAGACAAGAGGAGAGGTGGGTCGGGGTGGGTGATGGAGGCGTAGGACGACGTCGACCGAAGGCCAACGAGGGAGGGTATAG